TGCTATGGGCAGTCTATACAGAGGTGGGAGTACAAACTCTTTATAGAATTGAAAATGGATTGCCTGTGCAGGGCAGATGGAGATAATTTCAACAAAAGGCTGTATGGTGCAGAGGAGGCCACATAGCCGAGATTGCAATGGATCAGGAACAGGCAAGTATAAAGCTGGTCACACACCTAAAGATTATTTGCAGATTTTCTATGGTGAGAAGGAAAACGTGCAACAGATTCCTCCATCTACACTAAACTGTGTGGACTCTATTGCATTTTTACCAGCCGACCATAGAAAATCGGCAGATAATCTATAGGTGTATGGCCAGTTTGACTGGAAGGTTGGGGTTGAAACAAGTTTAGCCATACTTACACACCTGAATCTACTTAGAAAGCCTTAAATTTGCCCTGGTAATTCAATAATGGAGTTCCAAATGTAAAGTCAGACAAAGTGGGATAGGGAAGCTCAATACTGGATTATTTCATCATGTAATAATCAAGTAAAAATACACATTTCATAGTGTGAGTAAAGCATTTTTCTATTAGGTGATCCAAAGCTATTTTTCTCATTTTTGACAGTATAGGGAATGGATAAAATCCCTGCCATGTTTTTTGTGTGTTTGTGACCCTTTGGAGAGATTTCCCTTAACTTCCATATTTTCTCTCATATGCAGTCTTGGTGACAGTGGTCACCAGGGAAAAATTAGAAGGTTAATCTTCCTTCTTGAGAAAGGTTCTAACCCTTCTCTACTCTCTTGAAAACTAGCAAAAAAGTTTTGGTTTGCAGTATACTTTAGGTTGCCACCTTTCCTGGGACACAGTACTGGCTTTATGATCGCTTTGTATTCATAACATTTGGCAAGAAATGCATTGTTTGAAAGACCTTATTTTGGCTACTCCAGTCTCCTAGTCTCAAAAACATTGGCTCTACAAAGAGTGCTTGTGCTACAGTATATTAATGGACTTAATGATTAATGTGATGAAAAAAGAACAAAAAACAGCGAATCTAACCAAAACGTAAATTTGTAAAGCACAATAAATGACAAAAAACAATAAAACACGTCAAAAGGACACTTGAAAAAGAGGAAAGTCTCTAAAATACAAAATTGGTTAATTTTTCACCCTGGATCAGCTTCATAAATGGTCTTCTAAAGGTTGTGGATGGCCTACCAGTTGTAGCACAATCCAAAGAATGAACTGATTGTTTAAATGTATCAGAAGGAGACAATGATGCTTATGAGTTGACTTGTCAGAAAACATGCAGAATGTGTGAGTGGCTGTCACTCACTACACCTTCCTGTGACATGAGGGGGGTACCTTCATGGCTCCTAAATAGTCTCTGCTTCTAAAAGTAGATTTTTGACACAGAGAAGTCCACTGAAATCACAAACAGACAAAGTAAAGGTAAATCAGAAAGAAACAACATTAAAAGTGAAGAGAAGAACTTCACAGCTAGACTGAATAAGAGAACAAACAGTGAAACATTATGCAGGTTAGACAGACCACAAACAGTAAGACACAACAGAGAGCTTGCTCAAAGAGACAGCTTGGCAGAGTTAAAGGGTACAGGGCTTGGGTTCTACTCATAAGATGATTTATTGGCACTGCATTCAAACAGAAAAGCAGAATATTTGACATATGCACATTTTTGGATAACATTCTACAACTTGAACAGAAGGGACCGCAGCAACTTAAAAAAAAGCAAAAGCTAGAAAAGAAGAAAATTAGGATAAAGCTGTGACAGCAAAACATTTATTATTGTGAGCTGTTAAGGTTGCTTATAGGCATATGGACACATTCAAAGTCTGTATTTTGGAGATATTTTTTTCCCCTTGGAAATGTCTCAAAGGATACATTCATGTAGGACTATAATCTCCAGAGTGCATTACTTGCACCTGATTATTAGCCCCTCCCATGAATAAAGGTTGAAGAGTTGGGCAAGTCTTCATAGACAAGATAGAATATCCATTAATATTCAAAATGGATTACATTTCTAGAGAGACAATGTATGAGGAATGTGTGTCTGATTAGTAGACATTATAATAATTACATTCGGTTACTCGGTTACACTTTGTACAGACATAGAATACTGAAGTTTCAATCAAGACCATAATACAGTTCTCTTATACCCATAGCACCATCAACATGATCATACAGTACTATAATTCCCTTAGAGTGTATACAAACATAGCACATCATTACTATATGATATGATTAACTTGCACTATACACAGTCAACAGCACACCACACCACCATGACGTGCCCACTTTATATGATCGTAATACAATTCTCCTACACTCTACATGGTCATAGCACACCACACGACCACCATGACATGACCATTGTACATGACAATAATACAATTCCCTTATGGTCTTTTTCACTCTATCATTGTAGGCCATTAACCAACCCAGCCCAACTTGGTTCTTGGACCTTAACACAAAATCATTATGGCACACCCTACACAGACATAGAAAATCTTGTCTACTTAATAGGAAATGGCACTTACAAACAATCATAGTGAAGATAATTAATTGTTTTTACATACAGGGAAGAAGTTTAGCGCTTTACAGTCAGCACTTTCACTACAAAGAGTCCCTTTGATGTACAGTGATGTAGGACGCGGCATACATGTAAATGTCTCCAATATGTTTGTTCTGGACACCAAGCACTCTGTTCCTGTAGTTCAGGAGCTCTCCCAGTGAGAATAAGTGCAAGTCAGGAAGTGCCACTAAGTCCTACAACACAGCCCCTCCTATCACACCATCCCTTAATTGAGCTCTTAACACTTACCATACAACCTAAAATAATATCTTAACATATGTCTTAGAACTTAAGGTTTAAACATAAACACTCAATCTAAACACAAAAGTTAGGCATTACCCATTATGATTTGCCTAAATGCTTAACTATCCTTCATAACTGACCTTAAAACAAACTAAACTCCCCAATTCTAGAACATAACATGAACCTTAACTATTTTCTGAAGCATGCTAAATTAGTCACTTCTGCATACTAACCTTATTCCATGGGCAGAGCCAACATGCTGCATCATCAATGCTCTTCTGACAACTCTGCACTGAAATACACCAACACCAAGCCATTGGCAGCAAACACAACTAATACACTATGCTCCTAAATGTTCCCTGCCATGGAATCTTACTCCTTCCTCTGCATTCTTTAGAATGTAAAATAATTCTTTAAAAATACCACTTTGATCGGTACTTATGCTACAAAGCATACCACTTTGAAATATGCAATGGGGTTTTTTTGGGGCCACAGAGGAAAAATGTGTCCCCAGTAACATAATAAATGATATGTTAGCTGACCATTGTAGAATACTATTAGTAGACACTTGTCTGGTATTATGAGTGACACAACAGCTTTGCTCTTTTGCTTTCAGCATGAACACTGTGGGTAGGTTATGTGTTCTTAGATCAGGGTCTAACTCCATTTCTTTACTGGTAGGTCATAGTCAAATTACTTCTTTTAACTGGCAATCTTGTAAGCGCCAGGTACAGCTTCTATTGGCAGTCAGGAAAACAACAATGTAAAAGGATAAGTCAAGCACAAGTCAACATAAAATTGATATTTCAGTCACAGAAGCTGCCATCAGAACATTCACTGATGGAAGCTGGGAGATGTGTCAGCATAACAGAACCACCTATGGCTGAAATAATATTTTGTACTTGACTCATAATGAAGTCTTCCTTCTTTAGTTATACTGCCAGTTTGTGTGGTGCCCCTTGCAAACATATATACTGAATACACTGCAACCTCCCGTAATAGCTTCATTGCATAATTGATAAGAATAATGTTGATGTTCTCCATAATATACAACCATGATATATATATGCGTCACATCAAATGCTCTATACCAAGCATATGAGGATATATAGCCACAGCTGACATTCTCATCTGAAAATCCCCCCCACATAGCTGAAAAGAGACCACTGGTTAATTAGGTATCCATAGCAACCTGCCTTGCCAGAGCACAGGAAACTAATCATTTTGATCTGGGTTTTGCAATGAGATTTCCAGTATACCATCATCCATCAAATACAACATGGGGTGATTTTTTTGAAGCCTAAAAGGGATTTAATGTGAATGTTTTCTTAGGCGCTGTGCATATGTGAATTTTGAATCTTTATACTATACATCCAGACACTGCTCATTCATAAAAAAAAAAAAATCTCAAAGTTCTTAACTTTTGCATTTTTTTTCCATTTTGCACACTACAAAATAGCCGTAGGTGACCATAAACCAGCCAAATTATTACAAATTAATGTGGAGAATGAGCAAAAATTAGGCAACTTGGGATCTCTCTAGGGGGTGATAATAAACACCTGCAGCTGGCCTAAAGATTTCTTATCTGGAACTTTATATGTAAATCCAGAACACAAACTGAATAAAGTGGGTTTTACTGGTTGCAGAGAAGTTGCAAGATGGCCAAGTGTTTTTCTACACTTTTTAATGGTGTGCCAAACAGAGTAATGCTAAGACTGCATACAAAGCCCAACAGTCCGTTCACAAAGTCACAGGAATTACACCAAAATAATGTTAAATACTTGCAGAATTATTTATTTTTCTTTTTTTTTTACTGCAATTGTTCTATTCTTGATTTCTTTATAGTTTTGTTCTAAGGGTCTTTAATTTGTCATCATCTCAAATGGCTTCTTTTTGTGGCCTGCTCAAAAGACACTTGCATAGAAAACCTACTGGCAATGGTGGTCAGAAGTTAGCAATATTTTTAGAAGGCAAAATGTGTGTGATGATCTTTGTGAATTGACTTTTACATAAAGAACACTGCTAAAATGAATAATAATGGCATGCGTGTAGTGATTAAAGCAGATCTCTGCAATAAAGCTTTTAATATGAATATATATATATGAGTTAAAAAAACAAAACTAAAATAAGCAAATAGCACATGATAAAGTACCCTATCTGTATCTGTGTGCTTTTGTGAACAGAGGTTATACCATATTTGAAGAAGGTCTTTCTGATGGCAGTTTTTATGATACGTTACTCAGGGTTGCAAGCTCAAAATTAATTTCCATGGACCCCCCAAAAATGACAGATCAATTACAGAAACTGTCACTTTGCCCCAATACTGAACCACTCACCTTTCCTCCATTTCCCTGCCATCCTCTGTCTCTCTTTGAACAGCTGCAAAACACTGGGCTTTTGGGTATGGAGGAGCATGTGACCTTCGCCCAAACAATAGGCCCAGACACTGTCCCTTGACTGACACAATTTCTCAGTCCCTTACCACACAATCTGATACAGTCTGGATAGTTAGTCTGTGTTTTCTATAGCAGGTCTGTACATTTTTGGATGGCTGGCAATCCCAATCTGATATGGCTGGAGACAAACTGAGTAAGCCATGTAAAAATGTGTTGCCATTTATATGAGCTTAAAACAGCACTGCCTCATTCAGTGATCCCCAAACTATGGCTCGCTGGCTGCTGTTCTTTGGGGCACTATTCCTCCCACTAATACAAATGATGGGACACAATTCCCTCCACTGATACAAATGATAAGGCAATATTCCTTCCAATGACACCAGCAATGGGGTACTACTTTTCCCCCCAGTGAAACCAATGATGGGGAACCATTACTCCCACTGAATTCAAGTATAGAGCACAACTAAACTCATTTAAACCAACAACAGGGCACTGTCCCTACCGCTGACGCTAACCATGGAGAATTTTCCTCCTCCCACTAACCACAGGTGCCAAGTCCTTTTGTACTCCAACTGTTCTGCAACACTCTGGCATTTTTTAATCCCACTGACCACAGAGCCTGGAGCATTGTTTACTCCCACTGACCACCAAGTCCATGGCATTTTCTACTCCCACTGGCCACAGTCTGACCCACTCTAAGGTCTGAAAGACAGGGAACTGACCCTTTGTTTAGAAGATTTGAGTACCCCTGCTCTAAATAAAGTACTACAAATCTTTTATCATAAGACAACTTCAACCTTATGAAAAGCTATAGTCAGTTTATGTATATATATATATAGATATATAGATAGATAGATATCTATCTATCTATCTATCTATCTATCTATCTATCTATCTATCTATCTATCTATCTATCTATCTATATATATAGATATATGTGAATTAATGTATGAATTGTGTGTGAATTAATATATATATTAATATCAAGGTAAACTTTTCCCCTTTTTCCTAAGTGTGTTTATAAGAAAATGATAGTTATTTATGACCTGTTTATACTTAATTGCAACAATATGAAGCATCTGTATGTTATGTTATTTTATTGCTGCCTCCTCCTATGTGTTATACTTTTGCACAGGGTATTTCTTCTCAGGATCTGAACTAATTATAGATTACTGTGGCTTCTAACAACTCCCTGTATTGTCTGCACAATGTAAAAGGTGAAGTGAAACTGAATGTTCCGGGAAATAAGCCATGCTGATTCTAAATAGTCTTTGTGCTGTGCAAGCTTTTAGAGGAATAAGAAACTCTCCTCTCAATATATATATATATATATATGCATACAGGAGACATACTGAATCAAGGCACTCAACATATGCAGTAGGAAACAGGGGGAATATAAACATGTGTTTCCAACAAACAGTCTTGATTAGCTGTGATATCGGTATTAAAATGTACACCAGAATATTCTTTCAACTCTATACTTGGGTTGCAAATGAAAAGCTGCAATCACACGGCTATTCAATGAGAAAAGTGATACGTCTGCAATATGACATAAAAGGATTGTAAAGAAATGCAACTTTTACTGTGTATTCAATAAGCATTAAAAAAGGAAACAAGCAGTCTTTTACTGGGCTGACAATGTCTTTTTCATGAAAGTGGCATAAATTGAGAACAGGCCACCTCTAAAATAATAAAGCAGCAGTGCTAAATTACAGTCAGAACTTGTTTAATTCATGTAAGGTATCTGAAGACAGTGAAAGTGTAGAAGTACATTTTTCACTGGCTTTAGCAATTAAAATGAGACACATATTGAAAAAATATGTTGGTTGCCATTGTTGACCTCTCTTTGCTAGCGAGGGTGATCAATGTTTACACTGCTGCTAACCCGCTTTCACACTATCAGCCTGCCCACAGTATGCGTCTCTAAGCACTGAGGTTATAGGAAGTTTTACTGCAAACCATGCATCTAACGTGGCACTCTTTTGGATCCATCCTCAGATGCATCCGAATGTCCAAATTTGCAGAAATTAGTATGAAAAAGTCCACTCGGGACGAAATGAGTCGCACATGTCTATTAAGCATAGTATACTCCATAGGATCCCGCATGCTCCACACTGGGTCCCGCATTTTATGAATGAAGTGCAACATGCAGGGTGCAGCATTGAGTAACTTTGCTGTGTCCAGCAGAGAGAAGGTTGTTCTCCATTATAAAGAGCCACCTACCTAACAGTCATTTGACACTGTGTACAGATTAGGTCCATAGCACCCTGATCTATCATAATTGTTCCTTGTGTGGACAAGCTTAAAGGCTTGAAAACATTCATTCCAAAGCAATACCCGTCTTGTCAGCTTAGCCAATTAGTTTTCCTTTGGAAAAACATGACACTAGCTATACCTTTAATGTAAATACTCTGGAGGCTAGATATAAAAGAGCATCAAAATGTAATTAAGGGAAGCATACCATTAATTAACACATCCCACCACATACGGAATATATTTGGTAGCTTGTCTGCAAATTTAATATATTTAAACTAGCACAATGATGATAATAATATACTTATTTGTGCAACATGTAATTTGAAATATTCCCGCAGCTACACAGTATAGCTATGTGTTTAATTATTCCTTATGAAAGGATTTCTTGTGAGAAGACCAGAAAATAGTCAACTGGTTTTGTAGTGCTTGCAAGTCAGTTGTGAGTATATATTTTTAAAGACCATGAGGGGAATTTTGGACTGGAGCAGCCATGTATGGCAACCAATCAGCTTCTAGCTTTCATTTTGAAAGTTTAACTGACCAAACTGAAGATGGAAGCTGATTGGTTACTATGCACAGCTGCTCCAGATTGTCTGCTCCAGTTTTAGTAAACTCACCCCAATGACGGCGGGGGGGGGAATTTTTCAAAACTGGAGCAGAAAGATTCTGGAGCAGTCATCCATAGTAACCAATCAGCATCTCTCTTCAGTTTGTTCAATTAAGATTTGAAAATGAAAGAGAGAAGCTGATTGGTTGCCATGCACAGCTGTTAAAGATTTTGTCTGCTCCAGTATTGATAAATTCCCCTTTATATGTTTTAGATTTTTTTTAAACCACCATATTAAAGCGAATATAGACATATATGTGTGCTTACCACTTCACTTGCATCATGCAAGGTAAATGGTGTGTACTGTACACATTGAGGTGGATTAATTAATAATTAAATTATTCAATGCACTAGGGATTTATTAAATTAGATCAAAGAAAATGAGCCCAAAATTGGACTTGTTGTTCCCCTCGCACTTTAAGGAGAAATTAGTTACGATTGGTTGGCACGGACATCAACCAGTAGCCACAGACTGTGTAGATTACATCTCGGTGCTCTTTTTGTCATTGCCTTTAAAATCTGTTTCAACAGAATGGCATAAAGATTTGCCAGGCTACAATCAGCAGCATGCAGACTGTGAAACCAGTATTTTTACTCCAGAGCTCAAACTATACTATGTAACATTTCAGTAAGTTAATATAACCGATGGGAGAGTCATGTATATTACACCGAGTGTGGAGATTAGCCAAAATCTATGTATCCTGCACCCAAATATGAACCTGGTATGTTCTATAGGGTCAGAGAAGCCAGAAATACTGACAAGAGAAAACAAAAAGATCCACTAAACAGACAAATGGCAACATGAACTCAAGACAGAGCTGAATTAAGTACAACAGCAAAGAAATACACCCTTGTGAATGAGTTCCATGAAGAAACTTACCAAAATCCACAGAATTTAGGGTAGCTATATAAATACACATTCTGGTAAGCAAAAATAGAAAAAAAAAACACATGCCCCACCCCGCTGAAACCATCTGGCTGGGATGTTGTGAGGCTCTGGCCCACGAAAGAGGAGTGGGGGGAGGAGGGGGTTGGGATACGGGTGTAACTGCACCCTGTGGGCTGTTATTTCGTTTAATTAGCAAAATGGATTATAACAGGGAATATTACACTGTAATGTTGCCTATTATAATCCATTTCTCTGATTAAATGCTTACAGACAGGGCCATCAGGGGGGTACGACCGATACCCATGTGAGGGGTCTGGGCAGCCTGGTGGGCCCCTTACATGGGTATCAGCTGTACTAGGGGTGGCATGGCAGAGGTGACAGGGGAGGGGATGGAGGAGGCCGGACCCCAGCAGCAGCAGGTAAGAGGAGTTGGCATGAGGTGCAGGGAAAGGGACCCCTGCAATCAGCCCACCTGAGACTCTGCGGATCCCGCCATAGAGAGTCTCAGATGGGCTGTGCAGGATCTATGGTGTGCCCTGCAGGCTCACTCTCAGGTAGGCACTGTGTGGTCTCAGGTAAGCCCAGAGTCCAGCGCGTTACTGAGCCCAGAGTCCAGCGCGTTACTGAGCCCTGGGTCCAGCGCGTTACTGAGCCCTGGGTCCAGCGCGTTACTGAGTCCTGGGTCCAGCGCGTTACTGAGTCCTGTGTCCAGCATGTTACTGCAACATTAGAGACCGCTGGGGGTCCAGTGTGATCCGCTCCCGCGACCCCCTCCCCTGCACCACTGGTCAGAGGGATGGGCAGTACTTGGAACCAATCAGATGTGCGGCATGCATATGCACAAACAAGGAATACCTCGATAGGTAAAGAAAGCAGAGGGATGCGCTCATCAGTCTGAAGCTGCACTTTTACTATCCAATCACAGGCAGGGGGCAGGAAGACCGAGCTGTACTGTTTAAGTGCACTAGAGAAAAATCAGGTCACCAACCTGGCTGTGTTGTCTGTATATCTGGGCTGGATGGAGAGAAAATACTTTGGCAGGTAAAACATCTGCCATATATATTTCGATTGTTTATACAGCTGTTTACCTGGAGTTGAGTTTTTAATTAAAGTTCAAGCTGGTTATAGAGGTGATGGGAATAAATACAAAGTTAAATTACAGGTGAGTATAACCAGCAAGGATTTTAATTAGTATAGCAGCTGTTTACTGCAGATATAAAAAGAGGACTAAATGAATAAAAAACCTCTGCAAAAAAAAAATGAATTGCTAGCATTTCTAATATGGGCACCACAGTTCATTGGGGGCACATTAGGTTCTCCATGGAAACATGGACACATCTACGAAGCACTTTAAAAAAAACAGTTCAAGCAAAATGCCTTACTTTCAACTTTGGCAGAGACACAGTGGGGCTATAAGCACCATAAAAGCTTGTTTTGTTTTTCCTTTTTGCTTGTGATGTTCATGGCAAGGGTTAAGCAGGGAATTGTTAAGCATTTGCTGGTTTTTGAGCGTAACTGATAACTTACACTCCGCTTCTTGAAAGCAACGCACAGAAAAATAATGTGAAATAAAGACATCTCATCTACTTAAAAAGCAGGGTACTGGTTCAAAATAAGGAGCTCATAACAAGCAACTTACACATTTACCTCCTTCCCTTAAAGTGTATGCATAGCCAATTTTTCTTTCCTGGATAGAGTAAGAAAGTATTAAAACCCCTGATAGGTTATTTATTGTTGTCTGTGTTCTACTGGGGGCAATAATCTTACTCCATAGCCTGGAGACACAACAGGAAATAAGAGTCGATCTCCACAAAGTTAGGGGAATTTCCCTTTTGGTCAACTGTCACTGAAACAATTGTCCACAGTCCAATTATTCATCCTTGCTTCTTGCTCTGGTGACAACACTAATGTTTTGGATTTCTCTTACTGGCTGTGGTCACCGGGATTAATACAGGGGGCTAACGCTGCTCTTGAAGGGACACGAACAGCAAAGAAAAACCCTTCCTATTCTATCCAATACAAAAAAATGTATATGTACACTATTGCCTTCTTAATGTACAGTGTTGCCATCTTAAAACAGGTGGTATGTCATTGCTTTTATCACCAATCCAAAAAAAAAAACAAAACAATTCCTAATGTTCAGAATAATTTGCTTTGGATATTTCAAGAATTGTATGTAAGACTCTGTATTGTCTTGAGCTTGAATCGATTAAATATTATAAACAGTAAAACACTCAGGATTAAGAACAGGCCCTAGCCACTAATGGTAAAGCCCATTTGGCTCGTCCTTTTGATTTTCGGGAAAAAATTACCGCTCCATCGTCTCTTAACAATTGTTCTGACACTTCTGTTTTTTTTCCTGTACCTCTGTACCTCTTGTTTTTTTTCCTGTACCCAAAGCTCTTGCCTAAAACTCTTTTCCTCTCCATGAGGTGCCAACCTTGCACCCTAAATACAGTTTATATCTTGACTGTGATATCTTTCTGCATTTGGATCCTGCGCCTCCTACCTCCAATGTATCACTGTTCAACGTCAGTTTTTCTTTTTATAAATTGAGGCAGGATTAGAACATTTATCAGGTTTTTACTGCTGTGTATGGTCCCATTGCAGTAATCACTTAGGAACACACCAGCACATTTTTATTAGAAGAGTGAAAGAAGGCTAGAACATGTTAGTTTTATTGGAATACAAAGTCCCTGTTAGAGATTTTCCCTCACTACCAGTTGTCAATGAATAGACAGGGATTGTAAATCTCCCAATCAGGGATACATACAGCGGTAACAACCTTGCTTTAGACAGTATGACTATGGTATGATACCTCAGTCCTTTACTCTCTCCCCAATCAGTCCACAGTGGCCTTAAAAGTTAATTGGTTTGAGAACGGCTGCCAAGTGACTGTCCAAACACTGCCCATCACCACTACCTCACAAAACTAGGTGGGAATACAAAAAGCTTTTGGGACCTCAGCTCTATCCATCTGTCAATCCCTTTATGGAGTATAAACAGAGGATCTAAACCTATGTTTTGGCTGAAGTTACACTTCACACATCAAACATTTTCTGATGCATGCATGACCTACTGATGCCAACTAGGGTAGCCTGGCATCCCTAAAACCAGGAGCACAATGATCAGATTTTCTTGTCATTGGTCCACCTCCTTTCCAGCGATTCTCTAGTGGTTACTAACGCTGCCCATCACAGTAATGGATCAACAGCTAAGAAGTGAAAAGGGATGGCCATCGCCAGCAAGCTAATTGCTATTGGCATAACAAAACCCCTCCAGTTTTCATGGGTACCAGGGCCAAAAGTATTAGGGTTTTAGTTGAAGGCTTTCAGGATTTCCTTGTTCCACCTAATTACAATCGCTAACCATCTAGTTAACCTTTGTACAACGAGAGAGTGGCTAACCCTTGAGAATTATATGTCTGCGCCTACCCACACTACTACATCATGATGATTGCCAGCACAGCTTAAATGCAGCAAAGTACTAAATACTTTTATTAAATCATAAGAGCTGAACCGTTCCTTATGGTTCACCCCTATTGATATTAGAAATGGCAAGGTTGAAGAATGGCCAAACATAGGAGCCAAGACAAATATTTTTCTCGCGTTCAGTGTCAGAAAGTTTTTGTAACGGTATGGTTAGGTTATCTGACCATTATGGATACATATCGTGTTCAGTGGATTAGAAAAACAGGAAAATATAGTACAGTATACATCTATACTTTGTCAACACAGTAATGATATCAAGAAATCCCATGCATCTGATTGGTGGAATGATTTCACCTAGCCAGGCAAAAAAAAAAAAGAACAAGATATATGCAAATCTAAATCCCAAACAGGTTTCTTTAGTTTTGAATGGAGCAGGGAATGGGTAAAACTCGCCAATTTTTCTGCATCCAATTGGAGCGATTTCCTCTCACATTCTGTCCCGGACACACAACTGTGAGTGAGAGAAAGCCTTTCAAAAGTGAGGGAAAATTCCCCTTTAGACAGTTGTTACTGGAACAGGTGTCCCCTTTCGAAAGATTTTCCCTGTATTAATTTTGTAGTGACAACTGTAAAAATGTGGGATTTGCAATCATATTTTCTAATTTTGTTTTCTGGGGTGGTGGATGTATGGCAACCATACTTAATTTAATACAGTAAAAGATGCAGAGAAGGTCAAAGACATGAACAGTGCTCAACTGGTTACTACATAAGAAACTCAGAGGAGACCAGCAGTACTGAGTGGAATAAATAAAAACTTAACATGTAAATGCAAATGCAGACGGTATAGTGTTCCAGTGAATATTAATCAATATACAGGTAACTTGTATAGAAACAAATACATAGACTAATCCTGCTGACCTCTCCTTTTGAAAATGCTAGCTGCCTGGTAGTCATGCTTATTCAATTGCTTTCTGGGTCAAAAACTTGGAACAAGTATGCAGATCAGGTATTAAACATCTAAAATCAAAAAACATCTACAATCAGTCCTTGGTTTGGATTGACACTGTCACACTGCAGCAACACATGTACATTCTGAAAGGCACCCCAATACACGAGTGCTTTGTTGCACTGGTTAGTAGAAATAGTGCATGCTCCTTTTTGTGGTGTATTTTGGTGTTAAGCAGCCCATTCAAGTGAACAAACTGCCTTAATGCAACACACAATAATGCACTACAACATAAATAATGTAACACCTTTGGGAAATAATTTCAGTAAGCGTAAGCGCTTGGGGTTGACAATTCCAATAAATTGGGTGCATTGTAAACATTAGACGGAGGACCAGATCTCTACAACAAACACAAACCTGGTTTCAACCTACTAAGGATTTTTTGGTTTGCACTGCCCTCTAGAGTCTATAAGTAATATAAGCTTCTTCGGTTAACACAAGTAGCATTTTCTTTCTTCATGACATGTTTTAGATTTGTGCTGCTGCTTACATTGCATTTGTTTTTTAAGCCAATTATATTTTTATTGTACTGAGATACAAGGGGGCATTTGTTGAGATTTTGCACCAGAACTCTGCATCTTAAGAGAGTATGCCTGATAGACATAAGGAATACTTATGGCTGCTTCCTTGGTGGCCGAGGATTTCACACACACTAAAGACCCTCTTTACCAACATGGCAAAACAGTCCAGCAAAAACATGTCTTACATAATGGAAAACTTCTTAACTAGCTCATGTTTATTGGAGGCACCCAACCTCACTGTCTGGTTACTGAGGAGGTTAGAAAACCAGCCTTGATCTCCGTTGCTCCACTGTATGTTGTTCAGCACTGCCAGTGTTGGTCACCTACTCCCTTTTGGATATGCGTGACCCACCACTGCATCTCTAGGGTGGTCAGATCATACATGCATTATTGGCTAACCTAACATACAGTATCTATAGAAGGCTCTGGATTGAAACCTTTGCCTAGAGCACTACAATTTCCACATATAGCCATGTCTAGGGGTAGGAGATGGGTTTGATCTGGAATCATTCCATATTTAAATAGAAATACTCTCACAGTAATGAATGCAAAACTTTCTAATGCCTGCTGGAAGATACCAATCTATTCCATCTTTTCACCATTAATAGTTATAACCAATCACTGTTCGGAGAATAGCAAAGCCCTAATGTTAACAGCAAATAAAAGAGACGTTCATTTCTGTGTATGAGACAGGACAATTGTATACCAAAGATAATATTACCTGTAAATCAAAACCTATGAAACTTAAACATATCATTAAATAGTTCTGAGCAAAAGAGCACAGTACATAAAAGAAGGAAAAAGATAAAAACATTTGGTATTGTTCCAATGGTCCAGTCCCTCAACATAATGTTCAAGTTAATCATGGTTTTTTTGTTATATTATATAAAATGTATACCACAGGCACATAATGTGACGTCAGCTCAATACAGGTCTATGCAATACAATCAATTTATGCTACAGGAATTCGGTTACACCCACCTTACCACTGATGTCATTAATTGCTACATGAACAAAGATGGATGCCTCTTCCATACCTTCTAAGTACACATGTCGATAACCTACAGGAGGAAATTGCAAGGAAGATTAATGTTCAGTTTCCCTTTTAGCAAGAATAGATGCATATTTTACTTATGGAGGGCCATTGATCTTTTATGTTGCTAGGAGCAGAACACTAGTAAGTACAATGCCCAGGATGAGACTCATTTTAAAGAACAGTCAAGGGCTAGGTAATTTTTAGTTGGGATGCATGCCCAAGTTACCAGCTCCATGTATCCAATAACAGAGAATTATGGGAAATACTTGTACAACAACTTTATTCTCCTTTAGAAATGCCAAGATTATACATCACCAGCTCCATATATCTCATAGCAGGATAATGGGAACAGGAAGGAGATTAGACATTTAGGAGAACAATGTTTGCAACCACAGAAAAAGCCTCGTCATCATTTGCCTGCTGGCTATCAACTGAAACAAACTAGACTAACCAAATGGTTTATTGCTCCTTTTATGCCCTACCGACCCTCCTTTGTAGGAGAACACGCACTATAAACAAATCAGAGGTCATTTAGAGGGAATTCCTAATTCAATTTAATTTGGTCAGGGATACTGAAGTGAAGAGACAAAATGAAGTTGGAAGACTGTTTAGCCTGCAAGCATTTAAACTTCAAGTGTATGTACTTTATTCCTTTCTCTTTGTCCACTGGGTAGGTTCACCCTCTTTATTTATACCAGTGACCATTTCACTGTTACAGAGTGTACAATCCTCCAATGAGGAAACAAGTTCCATTGATGACGTTTTTAGAGGTGATGTCCCCTCAAATAAGTAGCTATTTACGCTCACTTCCAGTTGTGTCCTCAATACATAAAGTAAATGAAATTCTCCCCAACGGGACACAGACTACAAAAAATAAACGGATAGGCGTTTTACCCATTCTCGACACTTAAAAACAATGCCCCTCCTATCACTTGCAGATTTTATCATAAAACCAATTTATTGCTATCCCTACTTCTAAGATCCCGGATGTGTGAAGCTTGTGATGCGGTAATGAACCCTCCTGGCACTGGGAACAATGACATACAGGCATTTGCAAGTTATAATGGCCCCTGAGCAACAAGGACTGGATGAAATGCTGGTTGACGAGTACATGCTGTTACTGTGGTAGAAACGGCAAAGAGAAAGGAGAACCACAGGCAGACAAATATGGGAGAAGAAGAACAAGACAGGGCCACACAGAGCAGAATAACGTCACTGGAATAAGCAGACAGGAGTGTAGAAGTGGGAAATAAACAAAATATGAAAATTGACTTGGCAGATATTAAAGGGAAGAAAAATAGTGATATGAAGTGCTGACATGGGATTTTAGGCATTGCGATTTTGGCACTGCTGGAAATCTTTATCATTTAGTGTTAGAGGTCTATAAAACAGAACTGTTGACAAGGTAAGTAATGGCTCAATATTTCACATTGCATTTTTGTTTTGAAAGTTAATTAGGTTAGGAGTTAAGCTATAGTGTTTAGAAAAGGGCTTGGATTAGGGCTTAAGTGGAAGACTAGGGTTAGGTATTAAGATTTGGAACCCTGCCATAAAAAATGCCATGCAGCCATTTCTGAAGTGCATGCATGTACACAAAATGTGGTGGCAGGAGGGTGAAAAAAGGTTAAAATCGAATTTTATAAATAAATAAATGATGCACAGTATCTTAATATACTATATGCCATTAATTGACAGTATGCATCTTAATGAGTATAAGCATTAGAGATAGGTTACGAAGGAGAGGAGTTCTTACAGTAAAATATAGGATTCTCAGCACAGAGAGGTTTGTGCCTTGGTTTTGAGCACCTAAAAAGTAATGTACTTCATAGAATGAGGATGAAGACCAAGAGGAGACGTTGGAAATGAACAGGACAGAGGAGGCACAAGTCTGCAAGCAGTGAATACTGATAATGGAGACTGAAGATAGACAGACAGCAGGGGAACGGGTTTCTTGGTCTCATTTGTCAAATGTGCTCCTCTCCTGCCCTGTCATTCTCACAGTGACAGTTCATCTGTCAGATGCACAGCACCTGTCCTTTCCCTGAGTGCTCCAGTGGAACGGAGCACTGATGTCTGAAGTCCCTTGTGAAGTAGACCAAGACCTCGCATTACTTCATGCCTGGTCAGCCAACACCAGACTGGCCTGGGCATTCTAGCATTGCAGTAACCTAGAAGTGGGCTGAGGATTTATATTTTGACTGTGAGCAAATGAAGGTTTAATTTTCTCAAATGAAACCCCTATTGAATAAGAATTACAGCAGAATAACTCACCTGGCATCATGCTGGTAAATGAAATTGTTCTCTCTCCGATAAAGTCCCGTCCAATCGGATCGTGATCCCATACCAAGAAACGTATTAGAGAGATCTCTGGCATGTGTATAGTAAACACTAATGTTTCCTCCCACATTGGGTTAAAACCTACAAATAAATGACACGTTCACATGTTCACTTCTAAAAAGGGATTTCATCATCTTATTTGTGTAGGGCAATGATGCCAAAGCTAAACTAGCAAAACATTACATACTGCAGTATTAGCACTGCTAACCAATACCCGTATGCACTGAGCCTTTAGTGGTATTTTACTTCTCAAAATGTATCTAAAGCCATTTTTGAATATAGTGGTGATGGGATATAACCCCTCTCATTCTATGATATGCCAATTCATGTAATCTTCACTCCACATGAGGATATAAATTATTGGCACTAAATAAATACCTGTAATATATACTATGTCAGGCTATTTTCACCGTCTCTGTCCACATTAGAAGATTCACCGTGTTTGTCCTGGGGACCACTGTCATCACGACTGAAAGCGAGACAAAATCTAACATTTTGATTTTTCCCCAGAACAGAGGGGAAATCTTTCAATGGGTCTCTTTTTTTACGGTGACAACCATCTAAGAGGGTATTCCCCTTCATTTGGACAGATTTCTTTCAAATGAAGGGAAGTCTCCCCAATAAGAAACAGATGACCAAAAAAAACTGACAGGGCTCTAACCATTCCCTGCTCTATTCAAAACAGGAAAAAAAAACATTTGGCTTTAAATGCGACAAAGCACGATAACTAAAAACAATAAATAGCAAAATGACTGGATCCAATATGCCTAATTGCTATGTTGTTTCTCATTTATATTTTAGTATAGGTAAACTCATGTAATCCTCTTCATTTCACATAAAGGGTGTAAATTGTCAGCATTATATACAGAACATACCTGTACTATATAATATATATATACACACCAATACAGCGCCACACAAAATGCATTCTCCTGGCTGGACTGCTGCTTACCATTGTCATCTACAACCCGCGTTTGTTCTTTAAAGCAGTCTGTAGGTAAACCAATGATTTCAACTTCTACAAATGGATCAATGATCTGAAATATAAACCCACACACAAACAGTTAGACCAGGGAAGGTGCTTTACATCGTAGCATTTAATAGGTCTGTTTACTTATACCTGTCATGGCGGTCACAATTCACATTCATTGATAGCACTTCAGAAACAGAATGGGGGATATCAATTTGGTTGCATCGTCACCTTATTTTCTGATTTCTAGTGCATATAATTAGTGACAGATTTATTATTTTAGTTTATGTTCCATTCCTAAAGCCCTTCCATGTGCACCTTGCTTTAAATCTAGTTATGAATTGATAAGTGCATTTGCCATTTGTTTCACTTGTTGGATTTGGTATGGGGACACACTAGGGGCTTAAGCTGCCATTGTGATGTGCTGGGCTTCTAGTGTGTCCCTGTGCCTTTAAGGAGGAATATGTTGCCTCCTGGCGGGTCTGCACCCAATTAATCATTTGCTATATATATGCTCCAAAATGGAGGCTCTCATAGATTTAGGACCACACTACACATAGGGGCCTTGACGGGGCAGTGTGGCGTCCACATATTTTGCAAAAGTTGTCCAATTAAAACCTCTGTATTTAACCCCGATAGTTAGACTGGGGAACCTTTTGCTTTTGGCTGTCACAGCAGTCACATTATCGGGAGCCTATCCAACCAAGTCCCAACTGTAAACTGACGCATATTTGCAGTGTTGTGTAAGCATATGTTACAGTGTAAGAAAAACAGTAATATAACGTAGTTATGTTTGTAGACATAGAACATATGGGTAATGCTAGGGATCTTACAAAAGAAGTACTCCCAAATGAAGGGAAGGAAATCAGTTGTAGAAAGGTGCTCATGGTGGTGAATAAAAAGACCAATTGTGCCATTTTTCATGGAAATGTCACAGAGTCCTGGATTAAGTAGCAGATTCTTCCCATGAGCATTAAAAAGTCCATTTGGGTTAGGACATATAGAATGGACTTAGAACTGCAGTTTAGTGCTATAAACCATTGATTGACAGGTTTATCTGTGAGGAGCTCAATAAGGCATCTGATATATATATATAATCACAGCCAGAAATCCATTGTAATCCTAACTTGTATTCGTGGAGTGGGGAACCAGTCTCCATTACTATGACACTGCCTCGTATCGATAAGCCAGAATCTGGTGAATGTTTTGAGAGTGCATTTGTAGAAAAATTTTAATAAAAGTTTGCAGGAAAGGAACTATTTATTTTATATAGAGTAGTGAACATGAGAGGAGTGAGAGGAAACTGATCAGGTGATCTGTGGTGCATGGGAATGTGGATAAGGAGAACCAGGTCATGGCCGAGGAAGCTGTGGAGTAAGGAGTCATTTTGGCACGTAAGCTTGTAAGATAATAATAGAACTCCACCGAGAGAAGCTACTGTGTTGATGCAAACTTTCTTTTAGAAGAGTACATAGGCTCAGATAGCACCAGAATTTGATTTAAAACTATCACATGGGTGTGCTGTTGTGTAATTTCATAAAATTCTGTTATATTGTATAAGGTCTTTGCATTTATAGCAGACATTCTCAGTAATGCAATACTGTGAGGCCCTTCAAAGGCTAAGTGACCTTCCTGATGTTTCATGTTACACCCATTATTAGGGTGCAACACGAAACATGGTCGGATCGCAGACGCCCCCGCTGTAGTCCATTGACACTTCCTCCCATACCCCGGTACGGACATGGATGGGAGTAACAGGCTGCAGGAGCCAGTCTTTACATCTGTGCTCTACTGATCGCGGTTGCAATGTTTTACTGGCTTCTGTGCAAAAAAATAATACATGAACATGTTTTATTTTATGAAGTGTGCTTTTTATTCTTTTTTTGCCAAAAAGGTTTCATTTCCCTTTAAGCCCATTGGGGCAAAATGTGTCAGCAGTGGGCGGTCTATGGATGGGGACAGAAGCATGTCGGCTGTTGAACTACAATAAAGTTTTATGGTGACATCAGTGGTGTGCGGGACTTGCTTTGCAACTCTGGGGGTCCTGCTTCAAATTGGGGCCCAGAGTAATTCAGCTATACCCCTGGAGGCAATCTCCCATTTTTGTGCAGCTCAGATATTACTGGTCTCTAACAGAAGCAGGCAATAGATGCACTTTAAATGAATTGTCTTTCCAGTGACAAACACCTGAAAGTTCACTAACAAAAACAGACAATGATATATGGAAAATCAATACATGTATACCGTGAGTGAATCAACTACAAATGTCCTCAGCAGCAAGTGTCAAACCTTAGCAGATGTAATACTTTATTCATAAAGAAAATGTCAACCCTTCTTCAAAATGATTGCTAAGGCTGACCGCGTAGTGAGGACTTTGTGTTCAATCGCAAGACACATTGTGCTGTCCTTTTACCGATGTCCTGTATTGTCCCTTGTGTGACACTTCTAAAACTGCCAGGCACAAGGAACAATCAATTGCAAATAATGTCATACAACTCTCATGTCAGTTGGATATCATCGTTAAGGATATGAAAAGAGTTTTAAAACATAACTCTTAACTTTAGAAAATAAGGCAGCTGGGTTATCATCCCAAAACCATCGAATCTATTTTAAATGCAGCTAATGTAAGTATCTCAATTGGACTGTATATTGGCTTTCTGTAATCTACTACACAGCAAAGCTTAGACTAAAGCTAATATCCAATGAGGCAGGGCAGGGCCAAGAGGTGGGCCAAGAGGTAGGCAGAAGAGGCCAAAATCAGCAGCGGGGGAAGGTGATGCAAACAGGACCTGCAACCTATGCTGCTGAAGTTGGGGGCGGGCACAGTTTGGCATTTCTGCCTCGGTTGCTGAAGGCCCTTGTCCCGCCATTGCAATCAGGCTTTGCGGCAGTGCACATGTGCTGAAAGAAAACATGCAGTAAAAGAGGAAACCAGAGTTGATGACTTATCACTGTACTGCTACTCCTCTACCGTCAAATTAACAACTCAAGGGTGTGTCAAGGACCTTGGCGCACTGTCTGACAGATTACCAGGATTACTGGCTGAACAGTATACACATCCTTTGGTAGGTAAAATATTTCAAATTCTGTATATGTTTATTTAGATGGTTGCCATGAGTTGGGCTTCATGCAAATTGTAGCCATGTTAACAATATTTACCATGTACAAGTAATGGGCTATATTCCATGTTATTGGGGTTACCTGTCGTGTCATCACGCATGTGCGGCCATGTGATTGACCCCTGCCGACGGCCATTTTGGTGATGGACGCCCGCAGAGAGAGGAGTGGACGTTCACCCGGCGGAATAAGGTATGCCGCCGGGTCCCCTCCTCTCTCCTGACACTGTCAGGCTCTCGCTCCATGACCGAGTACCCGACTTTTTAGAGGGGGTGACACCAAAATGACTGTCAGCCATTTTGGTGTCACCCCTGCAATGGTGTCACCCGGGTGCGGGCCGCACTCCCCTTGTGACGCCACTGGTTACATTTACACATTTGAACGAATGCTACATAGATGTGGAATGATCATTGTCACTGGATCAGGACAAAATAATGGTATAACATTTATGCATTGTATGCTTTCTCTACAGACTCCTCCAGACCATTCAATCACGGGAGAAGACTATCACCTGAGATAGATTTGATGTTGATCCTCAAAAATAAAGCCAAAGCATTGGGAACTTGTTCAGGGTTTAAATATACAAACAGTGGACAACTTGAAGTAAATGTGGAGACACCCAAAGGAGAGTAAAAGGTGCCATCACAGGGATGATCAGACGTCAGAATGGAAATTGCAGTTGCCTGAATTGGAAATTTCTATGCATTTTCAAAAAGTACTTATTGTGGTTTTCACGGATTCTCAGATTACCAACAACAAGGCCATTTCTGACAGCTTGTGGGCCTCATGTACAGCAGAAGCTCCTGAATGAAATACAGAAGCCCTAAGCCGGTTGGCTGAACATCATGCTGTAGATTTCAATTATAACTGGGCAGAAAAAGCAAGCAAAAATCACCCGCTCACTGCAGCAGGATTTTTTCACTTTTAGATGGACCATTTTATTTAGTGTTAGCGGTCACAGAGGAGTGTTTTTGACAATTTTGACAAAACTTTCTAGCCTAACCAAATAAGTGACCTAATTAAATTTGTCAAAACACAATTTGACACTTAATAGCTCAGTGCTCAACATGGTTATACTAGCATCTAAAGGACTGGTACATTAAGTACTCAGGAATTGCACATGACTATAGCCGCCCTTTTCCCTAATAAAAGAAAGCACAGCAGTGTCACTAAACATTCAGCAGGGGGCAATGAAGATCTTTTTAATGTCTATCTAAAGCCAGGAACAAAAATTGTATATATTCTAGATTATTAATCCTTAGATGTTGTGACTGCATTAGTTTGCCATGCTTTTTTTCCACCTACACACTTCCTGTCCTAAGGTGACAACACTCACTCACCGTACTGTGTCTATGTAGAAGCAGCGTTGTCACCCTAGGTTGCCCACTCCTGATTTAGACTACAGTATACCTTCCACTCTTCTTACCTCCCTGACATATAATAAACCATAAGGGATGCTAAAACTGCTTGAGATTTTGGTGCGGTAGAATTCTTTAACTCTAAAATGTATGGCAGTAACTTTCATCCAGTTATGATACACATAGAAACTAATTTCCCAATTGTATAAGGCTTCAGCAGCACTGTAACACCAAAAGTACTGGGCCCTCACCTAACTAAAAGAAACCAGCCCTGAAGCAAAAACTGCCTGCATTTCTATCTGATGTGAAACTTTTCTTACCTCTCCCCGATCTCCCAACATGGAGTCCTTCGGTTTTGGAAGTTGTTGGCCACTGATTATTCGGAGAACAAGCTGCTTCTTTAACTGGCCTGGTAAGGGGTCTTCTGAATTTGGATTAAAGGCACCTACAATTTGAACAGTGGCAGTTTAACCATATGTATAATTTTAATATTTGACATGCACTATGACATGAATTTACAGTATAGCATTGAAGCTTGCCAAATACCCTTTCATTAAAGCACATCTCCAGGATATTTCTCCTAGTGTGGACAAAACAGCAATAAGAATCTGAAAGGGGTTCTAATACTTCCCTCTTTGAAGCCTAACTTCAAGCACAAGAAAAAAAAAACTACACTTGCAGGGCTACTCTAACTCTAGGGGTAGTAAAATAAGGTGTAATAGTTATGCATTCTTCCCTCCAGCAGGCTTCCCCATCTGTACAACTGGTCCCTCAAAACCTCGTCTCTAAGGTGCTGCCTGCTGCGGTCATATGCCTGTCTCCTTTACATAGGGTGCAGGGCTAATAGTCCTGCATTGTACATAATGACAGTGAGAGACCATCCACACCCCAGGGCACCAGGGAGAAGAGGAAAGCACTTGAGCCAGACAGATAGGGGTTAGGCTAAGTAATACACCCTCCTCCCCTTCCCCCATAGACTTAATAAGCTGTCCCGATCACAATAAGGGTTAGTCAGTCTTTGCTTTCTGATTAGAGTAGACTTCAAGGCAAAATGTTTTTCCAAATTAGGGGTTATAGCCCACTTGGGTTTTAGAAAAAAAAAGAAGCTTACAGTGGTCCCCTCTCTGCAAGGTTTTTTTTCTTCTATCTCAAGTAGGCTTTAACTCATAAGTTGAAAAACATTTTTCCTTGAAGTCTACTCTAATCAAAAAGCAAAGACTGACCAACCCTTATTGTGATGGAGACAGCAAAAACAGAAACCACTATGGTACGCTTGACTTCAGGGGCCCAGCTCTTGCTAACAAAGCTGTTCTCGTATATATCCCCCCCACTAATGATAGAATATAGATAAAATACTGTCATTCTTTTTTTTTTAAATCAGCTGGACGTTTTCGGGATCCCAAGTTTGTGTGAGGCAATAGTGTGCAAGCTGGTGTTAGTATGAAGAAAAAAAAAAAGATTCAACAGGCATTGATTCATATTTTGTGCAGCAGGCCAGAATAGATTTGGTATGTCACTAAAGCCAACTATCTGCAGCTGTGACCACATGCAATACCAAGTCCACCTATCAGGGTCTCTACAATATCCTAAACCATGGAGATCCTCAAAGCACCTACCAGAGTAGAGGAGATAAACGTTGTATATCTGCTTAATTGTGGAATGAAATAGAAATTTTAAGGGCTAGGAATCAAAGAGCTCACAGTCTCTCTTTAAATAAGAATTCCAGTCTAAATAAAAAGCAGAATATTACTGTAAATCGAGAAGAGCTTTAAGTCAACAAACATAAAAGCCTTGACTTTTAGGCTCAGTTCAATTTTTGCATATCAATTCTTCATGGCCAACCAACTGGGGGGTATAAAATGGTCATATCTTTTGCCTACATGTTTGGTACTATATGGTGTCCCCCCCCCATTTCATGTCAGAAAGTTGCAAAGCATGCACACCTCTCTGTACTGATGTTTGGATAAAAGTATTTTCCATATATAAATGCGTTATTTGTAATTGTGTAAGGACGACACATTATGTTTAATATATGGTTTTGTCCCAGTAGCTTAATTGTACATCCCCTTTGCAATGCTGTTAGCAGTATTAAGTATAACTCCATAATCACTTTCTTACCATGACACATGCATTTTGGCTTCAGAACATAACCACAGCTCCCATTACTGTTAAACTTAGCTCGGTTCAGCTGCAGCATCCTTCCTTCCGACTGGTAATTTAAAGCAACTGTTCAACAAACAGAGAAGACTTTGTGACTTCAACACACGCTGACACAATCAATAAAGTTACTGCACAGCTTAAAGTTTATTTTCATCTGGATATATCGAAGAGGGTACAGCTCATGTCTTGAAAGCACTTCAAGGTACACTCTGCAGAAGTACTTAGAAGTACATTACAAAATAAAAGCTCAGAGGGGTATAAGGTAGCCATCACAATTACAGTTCTGGAGGAACTCTAAGTCTATGCACATCTTGCAAAATTCATTCACTGCTGACTACTCCTAAATTTGCAGCTGGTTCCAATCAGCTATTCTCCATTTGGTTTAAATACATTTATTGTAAATTTCTTCTATTTTTTCCTTGCTAATGCTCCTTGTATATAATTTGGAAGCGTTTTCTTAAAGTAGATCTAAACTCTTTTTAAAAAACGGTTATTAGATTTTGTTAATTTTTTTTGTACCTCAGATCTCCTCCAAACCTTTCCACCATTTCCTGTCTACATGCACTTCCTCCAGCCCCAAAAGCAAACCATTCCTTTGAATCAGCTTCCTGATAGATACAGCATTGGACCATGTCTGCACAATGTGTTAGTACAGATGCTTGTAGTCTCCATTGGGATCTTGCGTGGCCAGTAACAACAGTGAAGCACAACTGGGAGTCAGTTGTCATCCCATTACCACAAAGGACACGGACCTTCATGGCAACAACTTATGAAACTGCATTAACATTGAAAAATGTATATGGGATTTTAGTGATTGGGTATAAATATACATTAAAGGCCAATAACTCTAGGTATTGGTGCGCTGAATACCCCCTGGTGTGTCTCTAATCTGTTCTTGGCAGGTTTAAGTTATCCATGTAACCGAGGTCCGGTCACAAAAAGGCTTCCAGTGAGTCAAAAATGTACCTATAGTCAGGCCCGGATTTCCCACAAGGCCACCAAGGCCCGGCCTCGGGGCGGCAGAGCGCAGAGGGCGGCAGCGGTGACCTTGTGGGAAGTTGCGACAGAGCTTTTGCCATCCCCCCTCCAATATTCATCTTCTGTCTTTTTCACCACCATTCCGTTTGCTAATAAGAGCAAGTTGGTCTGGTAGAAGTTGGCACAGGGCTAAAGACTCCCCCCCCATGCCCAAGTGACATCACTTGGACCTGGTAAGCCACTAAGGCAATCAATGCTGCATTGTGGGAGGAAGGAGAGAGAGTCATATACCCCCCAATACCTGGAATCACTGGGCAATTTCCTTTGCTATATAGACAAGCAATGCGGCAGAGGAGTAAAACAGATAATAAGCAGTGTGGGATGGGGGCTTTTAGGTGAAACTGCGACCTGCTCTACATCAACAAAGCACAAGTTGACTTTAAGCTGGCCCAACATGCTACAATCGCCTTTAGATTAACCAACAACTATGCAGTGCAAGGTCTACCTGACTGAATGTAAATTGAACAGATTGCTTTAATATGCTTTGTACTTCATCGTTGTTGCTAAATTTAAAAGAACATTGTAAAAAAATTGTAAATCAGAATGTAAGGCATGTGATGGCTTTACATCCTGAACACAAGAGCAGTGGTGTGGTGGATCAGTATCATATGATCACCATAATCAACCAATTATGATGAGAATTTGTTACTTGTTTGACAAACTTTCCCTCTGCTTGTAGCAATGTGTCTTTTCTTTTCTCTTGCTGAAAGCCAAGGAGATCAACATGACAGGCAGGAAGTTATAAAAATAGAAAAAAGGTAAAAAATCTGACGCATAACAAAACTGAAAAATCAAGTCTGCTCACAAAGCTTTTAAGTACTCCTGGCTGTGAAAGTGTTAAGCAAGCCTGTCTGCTCAAGCTTTAATAAGGCGAAGAAAAATGTGCACAATGCAGTAACCGGCAGCAAATTCAAAGATAAATGGTGAGATCTGATTGGTTGCTATGGGTTACAAAATATCATGTCTCGTCGCGTGATCGGATATAAATTCCTGTGATAGTTTATAGTTTATACCCATCACATCACCCATCATTGGTGATCCTAAAAAGCCGAGCTCAAGAATATTCTTACATGAGCACCATGGGTTTTATGTGTCTTCTCATATATCTTCCTTACTGTCTGTTATTTTGTCTCCTTTCATCAAGATTGTTTCTATAGAAACAGAACAGTATCCGCAAGACATGTCTGTTCTATCAGAAAAAATATATATCCCTCACAAAGTTCTTAATGCCAAGACTTGGCAAGAGATGGAAATGTCTCGGAGTTTCATGCGCCGAGTATTGAAATGATCCACTTTCATATTCGTGGGTTCATTACCACTGCAGACACAGATGAGGCTTACAGCTTTGCGGCTGGCATCAAAAGCACGCTAGGACAGGGTTGGTTCAGCTGCTGCATGAACAGCTTGCTCAAAGCACCATATCGCATAGCTTGGTAGATGGGCCAGCTGAGCAAGTTGAGGACTGTAGTTCAACTGCAGCTGGAAAAATCATAGGTTTCCTCTGTGCTGGCATGGGATCAAAAGACATTCAGACATCTAATCTACTAAGCAGCAGTTACCACCTAGTGACCATATCAATCTCTCTATTCAGGACTGTAAACTTTGAAAAGGCAGGCCAGAGTTGCAGTGTGCTGCTTTTATTAGTTTGTCACTGGTCGTGCTCAATAGGCAGGCATATAGAAATTGGTGAACTGTTCGGCATGCACCAGTCTTTGTTACTCTCCCTTCTTCAGTCTATACTGGCAGCCTGGTGATCTGATTTTTTTCTGCTGCAGTTAAGCAAACAAACTAAGTCACTTTCCAGCTTGTGATTAGACAGTAGCAGTTTAGCCATCAACATACACTACTCTCCTCTTGATCATATGTTTCTTATCAGCAACCAATTAGCTTGTAATGCTGGCCCTTCCACTCACAGCCTGAGTGCTGCTGTACAGGGGAATACAAGTGGCTCATACCAAGTCAAATTTAGGCACACTAGCTGCATTCAAAAACTTTTCATTATTTTTTAATATATAACTAAAATTAATATTGTGGAAATTTGTTCAGGTTTACATAAGAGGAGAGGAAAAAAACATAAGCACAGAATCAAATAATTTTTTTTACATGGTATGCTTTTCAGTGTGCGCTTCACGCCCAGGCCAAGCCCAATGGGGACAAAGAATTCATCACTTCGTGTAGTGATGTTCTGTGTGTAATTTTGTTCCAAACTAAGTCTATGACCCTGCTCCTCTATTAAAAAATTTAAATCATAGCCAATTCTCCTGGTGTCTACAGCTAGTTTGCCCTCACCTAGCTGGCAGCCGGAATTCCAGAAGGGCTGTGGGTTGTAATTGCTGGAATCCACTCTATAGGATGAAGGGTAGATGCGAGAGAGCTGGTGCTGGTTGAAACGAACAAACTGCGCTGGCTTCTGCTGAAGGATCTGATGTGCTTTTGTCTCGCTAAATGAAGAAACCTGCCAGCTGCAAGAGACTGTGGAAACAAGAGAGATACAATATAACATGATCATCAGTTGAGCAATCTGATATAAGGTTGTACTTACTGTCCTGAGAGATCTTGTCATAATAGCACAGCATGAGAAACGTTACTACGCTGGTTGGCAAAAGCCAGCTACATTTATAGAGATGCTACCGGAAAACAATGGTCTAAAATGGTTTGTTATGTTTTGCTGGAGTATGTCCACAAATGTCTGTGCATAGAAGATTTTCAGTTGAGCTTGGCTCACTAAAGTGGTCTTCAGAAGTCTTCCCACCCTAAGAAAAATGTACTGGGGTTTCTGGATCACTATCCCTGCTAAAGTTACACACCAGAATAGTCAATACCAATATTTAACTGGGTACCAAAAGGGCCCAAGGTCTGAATGTTGGGCCGACGGGTCAGTAAAGTGACCTAGGTTGTTAAACAGATCAAACTCCTATCCCTTTAACACCCCAGTTGGACCATACTGGGGAAAGCCACATGCAGCTATAAAAACTACATCTTCAAGTAACTCAGGATTTATATCTACTCAAACAGCAAGAAAACGGCAACAATCCATCTGTTAGAAATTAAAAGGCTTTTGGGTGCTTTTTCTGTGCACAGGACCATTTTGTGTTTACCACATATTGCACTCACTGCTAGCAAACTTTGTCAGGTTATGTATTGTTTATTCACAATTACAAATTCCAGACTCTACGTATCAAGATGCCACAAGACTGTGTTATCTTAACCGCGACAGAACAAGGGCACAGAGTAGCAGACTGAAATTTACAATGTTTGTGTAGGAAAGAGAAGGACATCATATAGAGTATAAGGGATGAGTACATAGCCTGGCAGCAGGGCCGGATTTCCCACAAGGCCAACCAAGGCCCAGGGCAGCAGGGGTGTGGAATTCCTATCTCCCGATGCCCGGGCGGGTAGTTGTTTTCTACATTTAGCCCTGCTTTGGACAGAGCAGAGCTAAATGTACAGCGGGGAAGCTGCCGCTTGTTTTGTACAAGTGATCTTGGTGACATTGTATGCAGCCTGCAGGCCTGCTATGCTCCACGGGGGTGGGGGGGCATTGAGGTACATGGCCTTGGGGTAGCAGAGAGAGTAAATCCGGCCCTGCCTGACAGCAAAGATTTGTCAGAGAACACAGGCTCGCAGTTTAAACTTCTTAGAGAACTTTAGTCTAATTAAAAGTCATGAACTTATTTTTATGAGGAGCTTTTCTCTTAGCAAAATACTTGTGTAACTAAATAATACCTTTATATGTTCCTTACTTGCAAAGATGGAAGACTAATACACATTCTACAACAGTCATTCAGGGAATGCCTAGCACTGTACTTTGATCAGTGAATACAAGCAATTTTCTGACATGATGAGGGGCAGATCGTGATGCAATCGCCCAACATCCATTTAGAGAACACCTTGTATTAAAGTCAGGCTTCAATGCGAAGAAACTTTTTTTTATAAATTAGATCAGTTTAGCACTTGCAAATGGCTGTCACTTACTTTCTGATTCCACATCGTGGATACCAACAGACTTTGTGTATTTCACCAAATCAGACAGTGCCCTGGAAAGTTTCATTGTCTTCTTTTGCCTGGTAATTCTAATGCACAAATATAATATTATTAATTATCCAGCATAGGGAAAGAGCATAAAGAGACACTAGATGATGTCTTCATACCTGCTGTAATGTACAGATGTTCTGGCCAAGCTTCCCTGCCGTTCCAGACTATCATCGCCTTCTTCTAAGCTT